AGGATCTGTCCCAAACATTCAGGTAAAGCTTCTCACCTCACTTTCTTACTTAGACCACATTGCAACTCCACAGATGTCTGTCTGCCTGGTAGCCCGTGACCTTGGCTGTGTCTCTCCTCTCTCTGCTGGCCTCAAAACAAGCTCTCTCCTTCTCCAACCTTGGCATGTTTCCTCTGTCCATGTCACCCCTTGTCCATGTTCCTCTACCCATGTTGCCCCAGGGGTAGCCCCATAGAGGCCCTCCCTGGCATCTCAACCTCCAGACTAGCCCAGACTCCCTAGAACATCTCAAATTTTCCTTTAATCATTCTTTCCAACCTGATAAAATCTTGACAAACTGCCTCAGGTGTGACCACACATTTCTTCCCTCTCTGGGATCCTGGGCAAGTAGATTTTCCTTTCTGGACCTCTTGTGACCAATCTGAGGAAACCACAGGGGCCTATCATTGGCTGATTCAGAGGGTTTTCCCAATTCAACCCTTGTTTGACAGTGTAGTGGGAAGGGTGTGGGCCTGGCCACAAGGAGAGAAGGCTGGCTTAGGCTCACGATGGTCATGGGTCGGAGCAGGCAGAATGGCAAATTGCTACCAAACTCATGAGACCTTGCTCTTGGAGTATATGGAAACTTTGGCCTGGTTTCTGGACTCAAAAAACAGCAAAGGTGATCATAAATACTTCTAGCTCCAGAAAAAAAAATGAATACCATAGTCACTGCCAACTCTAAAATTACTCCTGATAGAATGGCCTCCAAACATCCAACCAGCACCTCTGAGCATCAGGGCCATCCATTCTTTCACTGAGGCATTCAGGAAACCCTCGCTAAGCCTGCCATGTGTCCAACCCTGAGCAGTTCACAGAAGACAGAGGTGGGTGAATGTGGCGTCTGCCCAAGGATGCCTGTTTAGCAGGGAAGACAGTGCTGAGGATGCCAAGGGACAGCACAGCCCTTCAACCATGTGCAGCACCCACACTTGGAGAATCGAGCGCTGACTCTTCAGAGGAAGTCGCCTCCAAAGATTTCCAAGACTGCCTTGGAGATGATGGGAGTGCAAGGAGTGGCTGGGTCTTCCAGGTAGAGACAAAGAAGGTCCAGAGGCATGGGGCTGCAGTGTTTCCGGGTGTTCTTAGGGCAGTTAGAACAGCTAGGCTTCATTTGATGTCCACAGGGGTGGGATGGGAAGGGGTCATACAGAAGTCCACAAGACGCAGATCCTTCACTGCCCAGTGGGCTGTGGGAGCCACGTGGGAGTCTAGTTTCCGGTGATCATGTTTGCTGTCCCTTCAGGAAGCATAGAGGAAGGTGGGCTAGAGGAGGGTACAGACCTGAAACCCACGAGGATGCCCTGGCCCTCGACCTTTACCACAGCCAGAGAAGGGAATGGATTCAGAAGGAATGGGAGGTTAAATCACCATGGCAGGTATGAGGGAAAGGGAAGGGAGGGATACAAGTAGAGAGAAACAGAAGCAGGAAGGGGTTAGGCTCCTGGGGTCTCAGCTGCCATGAAGGAGGCCCAGACTGATGGGAGGTGGCATCTGACCCCAGAGTTCCCAATGTCTAGAGATGGGGGATGAGGGAACCCAGAAAGGGTAGTTCAGACCCAGGCATCCGGGTGGCAAAGAAACAGGAATGAGAATGCAGAGAACAAAAGATGAATGAAGCCTTCTAGGAACCTGAAGAACAGACAGTGTGCTGGGAAGGTGGGCGGGGGAAGCAGGGGACACGGACAGACAGACGGATGGACGACTGAGGCCTTATCACAGCCAAGAGCAGGAGGCCCAGCTGCAGGGCTACTATGGGTTATTTCCAGAAGCAAAAATACTCATTACTCAGGAGAAAGCCTACGGTTAGAGTCGGGCATCTCTCGCCTCAGCTCCCACGCCCAGAGTGGAACATATGCTATCTTGCTACTCTAGCAGAGGAGGATGTTAGTCCTCCCCAAACTACTGCCAAGGAATCTGTCCCGATCGGAAGCAAAACTCTCAAGCAATAATGACCTCTGAAAAGGCATTTAGAAAAGGGAGATGTAAGACAGGGAACCTTCCAGACTCTGCAGGGCACAGGAGGACATGCAGTGACCACATGTCCAGGGGACTGCCACAGAGTCCACAAGATGTTTGTTTGTTTGAATGAGACAAATGTTTCGTGTTTTCCCAGCAGATATTAGTTATGCACAGCAGTGGGTTTTGTCAGAACGTTTCCATGCAAGTACATGCTGTGTTTCGGTTATAGCGACACACCTGTTACCCTCTCTCTAGTTCCTTCTCACTCTCACTAATCCCCTTGCTCTTTCCGACCAGGCTTTCTTCTGCTGTCACATCTGTGTGTGTGTGTGTGTGTGTGTGTGGTGTGTGTGTGTGTGTGTGTGTGTGTGTGCACGTGCACACATGTGTCTCAGTGGTTTTCACTGGAGTTGTTTAGAGGAGCATGGGCAAGAGTTTGTTTACATGGGAAGCTTGCCAGTGGCTATACCACTGAAGAAACTTTTCCTTCCTACCAAGCAACATTCCCTGTGTGTAGGTTCTAGGAGATGTGGAGTTTTGAGACCCTTCCGTGATCAACTGTCAGTTAGGCTCAGTCCTGCATCCACAAGTACCTTGGCTGTGAGTTCAAGAGTGCGGTGGCCACATCACGCCTGGCTCAGTGCTCCACACCTCCCCCACACTTCCCACACCCTTCCTTGGGCTCTTGCATTCTTTCTGCCCTTTCTTCGAAGATGTGCCCTGAGCATTGGGGTGTTGTAAACGTCTCCTCTGTGATTGGATACCTATCAGTTGTTTACCAGCATTTTGATGTTATGAGTCTCTGCAGTCATGGTTAGCAAAGCTGACAGCAGCACTCACAAACGGGCACGGACGCAGCCGTGCAGAGGCATTTGGATGGGCACACCATGTCCATTCAGCAAGATAAAGCAATTGCTTCTACACTGGGGCCTGCGCCTTCCCAGCCACAGGCTTTTAGTGGGTTTCTAGGAATAGAAGTGAATTGCCTCCTGTAGAGAAGGCATCTAATCCAATCAAAAGTCTGCTAGTTCCCCTCATAGCTGTCTTGCCTCTGTTGCTCCCGGGGACTCCTCTTGCCCGGCTGATTATATTGTTAGATGCAGGGTACACAGTTGAAAGGCAGCTGATGACAACTCTCCCCCTGCGGCCCGCACGGCCCCTTCCAACACTGAGGGCTAACACAGTGGGGGAGGAAGCTTCCAGACTAATTCCAGGTCAGTTTCTCTGTGTCCTGCAACCGAGGCATGTGTGAGTCACCGTGTTTAAAGAAGAGTTCACTGGAAATGAAGGCATCTTGTTTTAGAACCAAAAGGTTTGAATTCACATCCAGCATTCTAGCTTCTTTTGAAAAATGTAACGAGGTGGCTCTGGGCCCATAGCTGTTCAGTGGCCACCCCTCTGGACATGGCTCTACTCGTCCCCAACACACACAGTGGATGTTAAGGTACACAGCCCACGCACAGCCTATGTGGACCCCGTGGACAAAAAGATTTAATCTATCCTGGGCAGGGCTGATGAGGTTTCATCACGCAACCTGGAACATCATGTCACTTTTCTGGTGTTTGTTTTGGAGACAGGCTATCTAATCCAGTGTGGCCTCAAATTTGCAATTCTCCTGTACAAGGCCTCTAAATATGGGAATTATAGGTGTACACCACCATCCCTGAATTGACAGGCAACTAAAAGCCTAAGACTTGTTTACATCTTGAATTTTCCATTAGTATTTTCAGGCTGTGGATGATCGCAGAGAAGAAAACACAACAGATAAAAGGGTTCACTGCATTTTATTTAAATTTTCATTATATTCATATTATATATGTATTCATATTTTTACCCCAAAGGGGAAATGTATATGTTATCCTATATTGCATGCATTGGTTTTTATTTGCTAGCATTAACTCTCAATGAAGAAAGACTGTAATAATTGGTGTCAATAACACACAGCC